TGTTCTTGGTGGCTGTGAAGTCACTGATCCCTGTAAGAGGCGTCCTGTGAGCAGACAATAGAAGGGAGAAAGAGAACATTAGGTTCATTGATGGTCTGCAGGGCACTGCTGAACAGCCTTTCTGCACCGTTTTCAAATAAATATATATATATATATTTATACATATATATATATATATTTATATATATATAAATCACATATATATACATACATATATAAATACATACATATATAAAAAGTCATATATAAACATATACATATATGTATGTGTATATATACATACATATATAAATACATACATATATAAAAAGTCATATATATACATATATATGTGTATATATACATACATATATAAAAAGTCACATATATACATATACACATATATACATATATGTATGTGTATATATACATACATATATAAAAAGTCTCAACTATACATATATACATGTATGTATCTATATAAATACATATATAAAAGTCATATATGTAGATATACACATATATGTAAATATATGTGATGTATATATATGATTTTTTTAAATCACAAACTAAAGCCAAAACACACTGGAGAAAAAAAGGCAACCAAAAATACAACCGCACATTTTTGTCGAGTCAGCGGTACGACGGAGCGTTACAACAGATGTACTGCACCTTTATCTGCTCTCTCTATGTGTGGGTGACTTGGCCACAGACTGACTCGGTTGTAAATTAAGAATATTTCTGTTCTGGTGCATTTTTCTCCCCTCCACCCCCGATCACATCTAAAATACCGAAACTCAAAAATAGCTTTAAAAACATTAGGCCCTGAACGCCTCGTTAGAGATGAAATCTAATTACATCCTTAGGATAAACAACCACTGTGCAGCACAACTCAACGGAACTGTTCTGGTTTATCTGGTGTATAGTTCAGAGGTCTTGGTTTTGAACATATATACTTTTATGTAGTCACATTTCAGCACTCAATAAGTTGAAACGCGAGTTCATAAAGTGCTCGGCTCCTGTAAGCTTCGCTTTCTGTCTGACATTCGTTCCAAACACGTCACCAACAGTTTGCCGACATCTGTCTGTGCACGTATGAAACTGAACATGTGTAAAAATGTATTCCTGTATGATCACCGTTCAAGGTATGGAATGTACCGTCGGTTATCTGTCATCTTTACAATCCAAACAAATACCGCAGGTAAATATTTAAACAACTTTGGTCTTTCTTCTGCCGTCAGCGAGACTGGGCAAAGATTCAACCAACTGGATAATAACCCCCACACGAACCCCCACCTCCGCACCCACCCATGTTATTTCTTTATATTTTTTAACTAGAAGTGAGGACCTGTTCGATCACGTCTTTAGTGTCTTTATTGTGGTAATTGTACTTAATAACCCTTCGTGTGTAAAGATACAGTGTCAGTCTGGTGGTGTCAGATTAACTGAAGGGCCTGACACACAATGGGTTCAAGCGGCTAAAAGTAAAGACGTCGAAACTTGAGCTTTTGTCTCTAGCTGTATGACACGTTGTTGTGTTTTTGTTTCGCAGAAGCACCTTGAGCTTTAAATACCATGTCAGTGGCCAGCAAAGGGGCTCAACCTCAGGTCAGGGGCCAGGTTTGTGTCAGATCAGCATGACTGAGATCAGGACAGTCAGTGAGTCTAGGACACATAGACTGATATATATGTAAATATATAGTCCCATATATATAGTACCTGTTTCCTCTGGCGCTTGAACCCAGGACCTTGACACCCAAAAATATTTTGTGTATTGTTGAGGACAACAACTTCACTAGTGTTTCTCGATGTGTTTGAAACGCCAACTCGATGTTGAACAGTAACGCCTAAAATCCACCAACGCTTCAAAGCTAAATTTTCACTACATATTTTTCGCGACATGTTTCCATTCCATTATTTGGTCAAAAAATAAAAACACATGATATAAAACAAATATATGTCCCTGATGTTATTATCTGTTGAATTATCTCAATTAATCATGATTAATTGTAAATAATCCACATCTAGCCTGTGATTAATCGCGATTAAAAGTTTTTTATTTTCAAACTTTAATATGAATTGTTTCCCAGGATTGAGTCGTTTTCTTGGGTCCATCCCTACACAGTGGGCCACACATTGTCCCCGAAGCTCAATTTCATCAAATCTTGAACATCGATGTCCAACCTGTCTCATAAGTTCTGCAACAGATTCTGGAAGGTTCACGGAACTGTCCAGTTACCTGTCAAGCCAGGCAAGAAGGCTCTTTGCGGCACCGATCAACTCCACCACTGAGGTCAGGAAGTCGTTGGGTGGTTTGCGAGATGTGCTGCCATCATATGCTGGGCTTTTCCGTCGGTCAGTTGTGGCCATGTACAGACTGTTGGTGGCAGCTCTCATCTTCACCACCAGGTTCTTGAGGTTGTCTGTCTCCACTCCGTAGTTCTGAAACATTCAGTCATTTAACACAAAATAAGAAAAAATATAAACAGTACCTGTGACTACGGTTTATCTGGGACAGTGTAGTTTGGAGGTTTAAAAAACAAAAAACAAAACTGTATTTAACAGGTGAGATTTAAATGAACTCGACTCCAAGGAAGGAAAAAGTCCCCTCATTGTAGATCACTGAAGTGCTCACGTGTGACGTCGCCTGATTCCTTTCGAGCTGAACAAAGTTTGCATTCTTCACCTGGGTTTGTTTCCATCTACTACATTCCTGCACTTTATAGGTCATTCATTTACAGGACGAGGGAGCAGTCTCAAATGCAGTGTAGCCCAGCTGTGAAGTACATCTATATATATATACAAATATATATGTATATGTGTATATATGTATATATGTACATACATATATATGTATATGTATGTATATATGTATATATATGTATTTATGTAAATATACACACACATATATATGCACATATATATCTACATATATTTATATATATGTAGAAATATATTTGTTTATGCATGTTTGTATATATGTGCATATATATACTGTATACATACATACACAGATATACACACAAATATATATATATATACATATATATATATATATGTATAGATATATTTGTTTATGCGTGTTTGTATATATGTGCATCACAAACATACACACAAATATATATGCACATATATATACATATATTTATATATGTATACATATATTTGTTTATGCATGTTGGTATAAATGTGCATACATATATACACTGTATACATATATAAATATACACACAAATATATATGCACATATATATGTATACATATTTGTTTATGCATGTTCGTGTATATGTGGATATATATACTGTATACATACATACATAGATATACACACAAATATATATATATACATACATATATATTTCTTTTAATTTTTGGTCTATGGCTACAGAAGAACAGACCGTTGAAAAGTCATACTGTTTAATGTTAATTTGTTCTTGTAAGAGAAAAGTTTGACCTATTATTAGGATTAGATTCAATAGAACAATAATTTTAGTAGCTGTACATTTAACTAATGGTCTCAAATATGTACCACATTGTTCAGACTATGTCCATAATAAATTTTTTTTTTTTTTTGACAAAGTGTGTCTTGGACAAATTAACCACAAAACCTTCAACTGGATCTGATCCATTTTCCCACTGACTGACAATGACTGAAATCACAAAACAGAAGTTGTCGGCCGCTAACTTCTGCCACACTTGACATGAAATATGTCAAGTATGTGAAATAAACAGAAGTGCACACCGCACGAAACAAGAACGAACGGAAAAGAGGAAGAAAAGTCTTGTGACATTTTTGTTTTCACTGAATCTTAGACCTCAACTCAAGACAGTGTGGTCACTTCGCAGAACTTTTATCACTTCTCTGTATTTTATTAGCGGGCTAACGAAGCACAGACCGAGATGAGAACCAAATCTGAATTTTCATAACGGAGGACACGAAGTGTTTTTAATCTTGGGAAACCTATTTTGGGTTTTTTTCAGTCACAATATACACCTGATATCCCAACGCAGTACTTCCTGTCCCCACTGCAGGTTTTGTTTGGCTGTGATTTGACTGTAAATAATACAAACGTCAGTGGCCTGGTCGGAGAGAGTGTGGGCTGCTCTGTGAATCCCTGCTAAAATCGCCGAGCGCCGCAATATATCCTGGGACAGATTGTACCCCGAGGCTAAAGAAAAATACATTAACAGCTGCTCTGCAACCAGATGATCCCAGTCGGAAACATCGAATGTGGGTGTCTGACAGTTGTGAGTTTCTTGGCCACTAGGGTCTGAGAACAAATAAAGAAGTGTTGTGTTTCCACACCGACTCTGCAGAAGACATCGCAGCCCACCGAGTAAATTAATTGAAATGTTCTTTCTTTGTCCCGAGACAGCACTTTGGTCTTTGGTCTCGCATAGTTAAAACAAATTGTATCTGGGCCCCACTTCCTCCCAAGGGGCCCATGGGAAGGCCTAGGCCTGAATCTTATTACGGACACTAAGGGTCAAAACGCATTTCACCTCCTTGATCCAATTAAAGGTCCGGCATAATAATAAGAATAATAACAATAATAATATACATATATATAATATTTAGTTAAATATACTAGACTAACTATATTTTACCATGTCAGGGTTTAAAGCAGGCGTGTCCACACTGTTTTTTTTGGCTGGGGAGCTAATGTTGAAATGACCAGGCTAAAGTGATCGACCTACATTGAAAATAATAAATATATATTTACTCATATAAACTGAAAATACTTAATGAATACATTATACGTTGGGGGTACCTGAATAAGTGCATGTTGCTCTATGACACAATGCGATTAAATACTTACAGTATACGGTCACTACTACACACATACACTGTATAATATATATATGTATTTATAAATATATGTACATATATATTTTGTTTACTTTTTTTTTTTTTAAATGTATTGCTCATGATCTACCAGCACTCCACACTTAACGATCTACTGGTAGATCCCGATCTACTTTATAGGACACTCCTGGTTAGAACCGACACATGCTGCCACAGGTGGCGCCATTAGGAAGATGCATGCTAACCGCTATGAAACTATGAAACCACTGGGAGCAGCTCCACAGGACGATCACTGCAGATGGAACTCGTGAGTTCTCGTGTGAAAAGAATCTGGCTCTGATTACTGGGACGGTTAAAAAAAAAAAATTATGGTATATAATCAAAGATATGATATATGGTGGGTATATGATATAGTGGGAAACCAAGTAATTCCAGGTGTCAGATGTGACGGCTTTGGTAGTAACCGTGATCGGCTTAGCTGAACAGGAAGCTCAAACTAAATGAGTTTGATGAATCTGTTTTTATCTCCACTCAGAATCCAAAAAAATTAATGTAATCATTTTTTTTTTCTTTTGTAAACTAGATCTAATGGAAGAAAGACGGTTAAAAAAAACAGCCAAAGGTTTAAACGTAAGCTAGTGTAAGCTGAGAGAAACGCTGACATTGCGACCGCAATCCGTGAAGTTTATAGCGCAGGATGTGATAAAACTTCAAACCAATCCCATCTGCTTAAAAAAAACCTGCTTCTACTTCGGTTGGAGTGAGGATGGTTTTCATCGTTCTCTTCACGCACACTGAATTTTTTTTTTTTACTGGTCAGGTCTTCTCTGAGCTGCGATGATTGACGGACGGTCGACTGTTTTACTATTAGAGTGACTTAACTGAACCAAGATAGAGATTTAATTATCATAGTCATTCAACTATCTGGTGTGCTACTGTTAGCTATTTTATATCGTGGTTGACACAGCACCACACACAGGCCTGGCATATGTACTGCAGGGACTGGAGTCAGCACCTTTTAGATGCAGATTTTTTTTTTTTGCGCTGGATCCCTGTATTTCTGGATTCAGATTGGTATCGCAAGGGTGTCAAACATACGGCCCGCAGCCCAAAACTGGCCCGCTAGGGTGTTCAACCCGGCCCACGATGAAGATTGATGAATTTTAAAATTAAAGAAATACACAAAGGTATTAAGATATGTTTTTGTAAAATTATATTTCATTAAATATGAATAAATAATAATAAATATTTAATATATTTGTACTTCTATGCATGAAAACAAAGGGGAAAAACATCGACTTGTGGTTATTCATAGTTAATTAGATTATGATTGTTCTGGTCCGGCCCACTTGACGTCTAATTAGGTTGCATGCGGCCAGTGAACCAAAATGAGTTTGACACCCCTATGGAATTGAGTCGCAGTCATTGCATGTAAACGGGGCTGGAGTGACACTGTCGTCCTCCAGTGTCCTCCTCCTCCTCCTCCACGCCCTGCTGAGCTTTATGGGAAACGATAAGCCCTCATGCATCACTCCTTCCTGGCTGCTGAACTCAAAACTACAGGACGGTCGTGTTGGAACACGAGAGTCAGATGGATGGTTGGACACGTGAACAACCAGGTTAAGAACTGACCAGAGCACAGAGCAGGTCCACGGCCTCCAGCACCAGCTCCTGGTGTCCGATCCTGGCTACACCCAGCTCCTCCAGGTCTTGATGGGTGATCTTCAGCAGCTGCTCTCCACTGATCTTCTCCCGCTCAAAGTTGCTCACATACTGCTGCAGGCTGTCGTCCAAACCTGAACACACACACAAAATAAATAAATACAGTAAGGTGAATGATAATGTCAACCATGAAACACTGAAAGGCGTGGCCAACTGTCGGGATGCTAACATCAGCTCCGTCGCTGTATCTGTCGATCTAATCTAATTAGCAGGTGATGTATTATAACGTGAGTGTATGCACAGAGGAGATAAGGAACAGGTGGGTTCTTTATCTGCGCTCCAAGCCAGATAAACACACAGTATAAACAGGGTAACGGTTAAGTCTTCTGGCTCTGCTAAACTGGTTAAACAATGTGTGCCTACGTTGGTGTGTGTGTGTGTACATACTCCATATGTTCACGTGTGTGTAAGAGGCGTCGACTTTTTTTGGCATTGAGTCGATCATAACGAATGAGTGAGACCGTTATGTTACCAACTGCTGGGAACCAAAAAACAGATGTGAGTTTGATCCATTCCACAACAGCACTCGTATCTCGATCAAATTAAAAAAAAACAAAAAAAATGTTTATTTGTTCCAGCCCCCCAGAAATATACTATTAATTAATTAAATTAACCCCCGATCTAAACATCAAAAACATAGACATAAATCATATAAAATAATAATTATTAAGAAAACAATATATATTATTGTTATAAAAATGGGTAAAACAGAGCGCCACAGCGCCACCGTGTGGAGTGGATAAAGCACTAGTAACTCTGTTATCACGTATCACGAGGAAAATCTTTGCAGCTCCGTGACATGCAATCCTCGTATCTCGAGGTTCCGCTGTATTTGCTCAACGGCCCGTGGAAGTCAATTCGTTGGACGACGGGGAAAAGATTTGCAAAACCAGCTTCGTGCAGCTCAACGTGCCCCCACCTCCAGTGGACGTTAGAGCCAGTGTCCATACAACAGGTTTAAATAATGAGTCTTTGTGCGTCTCTGCGTGCAGCTAGCTTCGGCTGCAGCGGTGAACGCCGTCTCTCTCCCCAATCAATGGGCGCACAGAGACGAGGCAGCTGCAGATACATGGCTCTGAGCCCCGGTCCTCTGAAAGACCTGTCAGCTGCACCAAACACACACTTGTGCACACTCCACATGTACAGATTTGGCAGATCACTTTTGACTTTAACAGTCAACACACAATAGCTGGACTTGTTTGAGGAACAAACGATTCAACGGCAGTCCAGATAAAATGCAAAGCATGTCGTTCTGAGGAAAGACGCAGGGTGTGTTCTCTGGTCGCTCCAGTTCGTTATTTTTTTTTCCCTGAGTTGAACTTCCCATCTCCGTGTCTCTGCGGCTCTTAACTCAGTGCATATGTTGCACATGGAGGAAAAAAAAAACAGTTTACAGTGTTGTTGTTTTTTTTAGCTTTTATTAGCTTGTCATCTAAAAGGCATTAAGGATTTAGAGATATTTTTTTACGAAACTGGCACAGAAGCAGCTGCAGTACCGCTGTGCTACTGAGGGTGGACGGAACACAACAAACAAAACCTCTTCAAAGGCTAAGAGTAAATAATTAGAGACTTCGCTGCGTCTTGAAGCTCAGTCAATTTTCACCACTCAACGTTCTGTTTCAACAGTTGTGGTCGTTTCATGTCGGACGTTATCTCTGTTGTTTAACCAGGTGGTTTAAGTCAACCAAGTTTATTTGATTTTCGTATGTCGCAACTTAAAAATTGTACACAAATACCAGTGTCACTCATCTAGGCTCACACTGTGGTCTATGTTACGTGTGTATTAGCCATAATGATGGGCAAAATGGTAAAAAAAAGGCGAATGTAAACAAAGCCGTCGTCTGCATATAGTGTAATTTGTTACTTTTTCTGAAGTTAATACCGGAATGACAATCAAGTCCAATTTAACAAACAAAAAAAAGGGTCAAATCTTTAACCTTAACTAGTCTTTCAACTGGTCTTTTTGTTAATCAGTTACAGATTTTTTTTCACTAAATTAACATGACAATTATATCAAAAAATATTTTGAACTTCATTGATTCCACATTTGGGAAAGTCTTGTGTTAACAACAGCTCTGCTGCTACACTCTGGGAATCAAACCCATGACTCTTAAAAAATATTTTGAACTTCATTGATTTCATATTTGGGAAAGTCTTGTGTTAACAACATCTCTGCTGCAACACTCTGGGAATCAAACCCATGACTCTCTGGTTCCAAGCCAGGCGTGCTAGCCACAACACTACGGAGCCTAGCAAAAAGCTGCTTCGCTAGACCACCTAGATGGGATTCGAACTCACAATCCCTGGCTTAGGATGCCAGTGCCTTATCCATTAGGCACAAAAAAAAAAAAGAAATATAAATATCCATAATGACATAAAAATTCACAAATGACATGGTTCTAGTCCCGAAGTTTATACCAGACCTGCGTTAAATTTTAACAGAAAACTCCTTGTTGCTGCCACAGGATTGTATTTAAGCTGATTAAATTACCTCTCATTCCCAAAAAGACGGACTTTAGGAGAGAGTTTCAAACTTAACCCCTGACGTCCACTTGATTTAAATTCGAACACTGGGCTAGTCGAAGAGCGGGACACAGAAGGAACAAAGTCTCTTCCTGCTGTGTTAACAAGGCATTTCCTATGGATTTGAGCCATAACTCTCGCTGCACAGAAGGGAAACGTGCGCCAGGGAACCGAGCGCTTCAGCTCCCAATAAAACTCCAGTGTTTTTCAGCTCGGGCTGCTGTGAAATGAGCAACAAGCTAGATATGGAAAAGTCAGCATGGAAAAACCAGAGTCAGTGGGGGGGGGGGGCAGGGGGGGTTCATTCATCAACCCCCCCTTCTTCAGTGGGGGGGGTGATGAATGAAAGTCCTTTCCTTTCCTGTGGGCTGATCGTCAGCTCAGCATTCTTCCCCATCTTCTAGATTTCAGAAGTAAAAAAAAAAAAAACTCTTCAGGTCGCCCGGAGGTTCAAACCGATCCGTGTGTTTGTTTTTTTTTTTTTGAAGAGGGATAATTGTACGTTTGTTTACGTGCATTAAGGAAAGAGGTCAACAGTTCCAACAGTACCAGTGACTGTCAATGGGTGTCAATGAGCGCTAAGGACAATAACACAGCTCAGCAATCTGTCCCCGAGGACTAACAATCGTCATCGACACCTCCAGGATAAAGGAGTCGCCCCCCCCCCCCCCCCCCCCTCCCCTCCTTAAAGACGGGCTTATAAAACATTTACAGGGCCTTGATCAACTGCTTCTGGGATCTGTGTATGTGTGTGTGAGACTATCACTTTTCATTAAAGGTGGGACAAAGTAATAAAGGAGATTGAGTGTCGCATTATTGTGAGTTGAGAAAAAGAGGAGGCAGCGTGAACGCAGGATGAAACACTTTAGAGGCGTTTAATGGCCTCTGAGAACCACTTGGCAAATGTCCTCAAACCAGCGCAAGTGGGTGTGACTGCGCAACAGACACACAGACAAACAGACCCACAGACAAACAGACACGCGGCTGTGGACGCACAGACCCTGCCCTGAAAAAACATCAGATTGTCCAAGAAAACAACTGTCATTTCCAACGATGTGTGTTCACTCTGCAGAAGTTATGTCTCTCAACGTGAAGCCACATCCACCACACCACTCTGTTGTACAGGTGCCCCCAACCCCTGGTTCGCAGGCCGGTACCGGGCCGCAGTGGGACACAATGAAAAATGTACTTGAGTTTTGCTACTTTACTTCATTCAAAGAGTTTATTCTTGTAGTAACAGTAAAATAATGTAGTATCTTGTAAAATAATATCTGATCCAGACTCTGATACTACAAGAACAAAATGTTTTATTTTGAAAATTTAACAATCAACACAGTGCTACTGGCTCGCAGTAAGGGCCAGTAGCAAGGACCATTAAATTTGAAAAATAAACCTTTTAAAAAAATAAATCTTTTAGACTTTATTCTGTCAGAGTCTGAACGATCTGTTGTTTTGAAACATGAAAAAGTAAAGGGATATGACAGGATTTTTTTTTGAATGATGTAAATTAGTTAAACTGAAGTACATTTGTTTTCCACTGCAGCCTGGTGGACCGGCACCGGCCCCTGGACCAGGGGTTGAAGACCTCTGCCTTAAGGAGGTTGTTGGCTCTTGTACGAAACCTTTGTTGAGATGTATTCGTGTGGAAAAACAGAAGAATTACACTCGTTGTCGTCGTCGTTGAAGTAGTTTCAGACCAGAGATGAAAAGACAAATCCATCCCGCTGCTGGAATCGTCCAATCAAACGTGAATATTTCAAAAGCAACATCCCCAGATCACCACGAGTGATCAATAAATAAACAATACAGCAGGTGATGTGTGTCACCTGTCCGTCCGTCTCACCCACCTGGCGTCCTCCCCCTCAGTAAACGGGTTAAAAACACAACGGTGTGAACGCACATGGTCATTTACACAACCATTGTCTGGACAGCTGGGAAAGCAGAACTGCTGCACGTGGAACCCAGACCCTGTCGGAGCCTACTGCGCACAGAGGCTGTGTGAGCAAACAGTATTTAAAAAGTAAACAACAGACTGTGTTGTTAAAGTCGGCTCCACAGTGTAG